GCCGAAAATGGGAAAAATACAGTTGTTTTTTAATAAAATCAATTTGAAAACACGATTAAGACACATCGTGAGAATGAAAGGGGGAGAACTCACCCACGAAAATGTAAACAAAAGAGCATAGCATGATGAAAAAAAAGCCGAACTTGACGAAAACAAAATTTTATCGTCTAATGTTCATATTATTATTAAAGAGGAAAGATCAAAGTATTTTGGGGGTATTTTTTTACATTTTTTAATCGTTCCTAGCACGTCTGAAATTTTCCTTAAAAATATTGTTTTTTTTTTTGTTAAAAAAAAAATGACAGATAATCAATCATTTTCAATCATTTTTTTTCGATTTGATAAAAAAGATTAAAATCTTACTTTGATATTCTTTTAAAAATCAATTATCAATTTTTCAAAACTGATTTTAATAAAAACAGAAATTATACTGTTTATTTAAAATATTTTGAACCGAGCTTAACTTGGCTTCTACGCCGAAAAAATGTAATTTGAAAATAAAACAAAGCAGGTCATAACCTTTCGCGTCGCTTGACGATTGACGAAAGGCACATTCATGACGTTTAGATAACTTACGGGAGGATAATTCTTTCTACGGATGGAAGGAAGTGAAATTATTTAAGTGAACAAATTATTTACCTCGTTACTTTTAAGGAAAACTTTCAGCGCTCTAATTTTTAATTTTTTTTTTTTTTTTGTGTACTTAGCTTTCATTTTACGTTTACGATGCTTTATGGAAAATATAAATAAATTAAAAAATAAGACTGTTAATAGTGAGATTAAATTTCATAAGAAAAAGGTATCTAATTAATTTAGGTACCTTTCTTATGAAATTTTATCAGAAGTGTACATAAAATACTATAATTTTATGTACATTTATTACATTTTACTGTGTTATTTGTATTTCCATTCATTTTATTATTAATTTTGATATTTCATTTATGGAAAATGTCATAACTGAGATTAATATAAAAATAAGATCATATAAATTAAAGTTTAGCAGTAGTTAAATTTCATAAAATGATACTGTTACTTTTAGGTACCCTTCTCAGTTGAAATTGAAAACTCAAATTAACTTCTCCATACGTGTTTCGCAAAAGTAAAGGACTTAACAGCGGAGAACAATGCTGAACTCAAATAATGCAACTAAATTGTATTCTGGTTGATCTTCCGTACTTGATAATTACTGTCCGACTATAAACACAAAAATTACATTTCTTAATTACCATGGCTAATCTGATTGGTCCAAATTATACAATTTTCAAAGCGCTAGACAATGACAATCTCACACGGACATTTTGAAAGGTTGATGTTGCTTTTAACTAATGTTAAAATATTTTTTAAAATTCAATTTAAACCTTTTTTTAAATCTTTTAAAATTAAAGAAATAAGAAACAATTGTATTAAAAATTCAATTTTCATTGAAAATTTTTTGCTTTCAGAAAATATTGTCCATATTCATAAAAAACAAATTAAAACAAATAAAAAAGCATTTGAAACTAAATAATATATTTGTTTTATTGAGTTTTGTATGTTACAATTCACAGCTGATTTTCAGGTACGTTGGCCAAAAAAAAAAAAAAAAAAAAAATGATTTGCATTCTTCAAAGCCTTGTGCTTTTTTTTAATCACTAAAACCGATGGTCTCGAATTTCTAGAGTTTTTCATAAAATTAGTTATGGGGGTGTTAATAAATATAAAAAAATTTTCTGCCATGACTTTAATAAAAAAAAAACATTTTATAATAATTTCGATCATCTGTGAATAGTTTCTGAAAGTTTCATTAACATCTGACAATTATTTTTATTTTTGCAAGATTTTCCAAATTAATGTGTGTAAATACAAAAAAACGCGCTAAAAATTATCTATGTTATTTACTACCCTTGTTGCGACAAAGAGAAACAAGGTTTTTAAATCAAAATTTAGAATATTCTAAAAATGGAAAATTTTTTAAAATAATTTTTAAAAAAATTTAGTCTATCCTCTTCATAAAAAACATAAGCATTTTGACGATAAAATTTTGTTTTCATAAACTTTAGTCTTTTTTCATCAGACTATGCTCTATGTTTTAGCGATTCCGTGGAGTGACTTAGGTTTAAAAACCCAGGTTGTGTGTGTGTGTGTGTGTGTGTGTGTGTGTGTGTGTGTGTGTGTGTGTGTGTGTGTTCGTGTGTGTGTTCCTTTATATATGGTATCGGATTTCTTACATTTTTCAGCCGATAAAACAAACATCCACTTTTTTGGGGGCAGGTAGTATTTCTTATTGTCTTGCACACTTTTTTCTTTATTTATACATTCAGAATGCTTTAAATTCCATTTACAAGACAATTATTTATAATAAAATTCTAATTCTATTCAATCGGGGGACTCATCATAACGATTGAAAACAATGTTTTTGTTTGAGTTTGGGTTTGACCAATTCGTAAAAAAAAAAAAAAAACTAAGACATGCGTGTCCGTCAACCTAAACAATAATCTAACGATCTCTACTGATTGTACGAATCGAAAAATCGGATAATTCTTTATCTTTAGGGAAAGATAATTCCACGTACTTTAGGGCCGTCTTTACAATTCCCTTTGCAATTTGTTACAAGGCAGATCAATAAGGCATTGGTTCTATTTGAAATTAATTCAATATTTAAAAGAAAGTATTAAGAAATAATTTAAAAATGCCGACGTAAGAAATCTGATAGACAAAAAACAACAATATTTCGAAGATGATAATTATTAAGGAAAGAACACAGTACTTGTAATAAATTAATAAACCCAAATAAAGTTAATATTTTTTGTATTAGAAACAACGAGTGGAAAATATATTCAAATCAGAATTCTAATTATGAATCACCACAAGCAAAATATTAATTTTTTTTACTGTATTCAATAAGTAAAAATCATAAATTGTAAAAGATTACAGAGAAAGGCTACCTACATTTTACAACCGATTTCAACAAAACTTCACTTTTTTTTTGGCAGGTAGTGTTTCTTATTGTCTTGCACATTTTTTTCTTTATTTTTACATTCAGAATGCTTTAAAAATTCCATTTACAAGACAATTGTTTATAATAAAATTCTATTCACCAATCGATAGACTCATAACGATTGTAAACAATGTTTTTGTTTGAATTTGGGTTTGACCAATTCGTAAAAAAAAAAATAATAATAAACTAATTAAGACATGCGTGTCCGTCAACCTTAAACAATAATCTTTGTCAATTTTATTTTTCAGTCTTTATGATGGTCGATACTTGATCTATCTCTTACTGTTACATCCCCGGGCAACGCCGGACTCTACTGCTAGTTTCCTATAAAGCGTAACAAGTTAGGCAGACACTATTTCTTTTACTACTACAACGAAAACACCACAGTACCCGCCCCTGTTTTGCAGCAGTGATGACATACACTACCGACTGCCTTACTTTTTCTCATATTCTTTCACATTTAGTAAGAAGAGTAACCCCTTAGTGGGTTTTTTGCCTTGCTTGTGATTAAATGTTTTTTTTAATTCGCTTATCCGAGCTTGTCCTAAAAAAAAAAAAAAAAAAAAAAACTTTCCGGTTGTAATTTTATGGAGGATGTGGAATCCACATTTTAATCTCTTTGTCTTAACTGTGTGAATCGCTGCTCAAAATGAAGTGGTAAGTGTACAAAGGATTTAAAAAAAAAAAAAAAAACACTCCCATACGTTTTTACTTTTTATTTAAAGTAGTTTGTTTTCACGGAAATTCGTGATCGTAACAAGTCAGTAAAATAAAAGTACAAAAGTTCAAGAGGTATTTATCTGGAGTAGACCATTAACAATGGACAAAAGAAAAATAAATAAGCAAGAATGATCATTGCAAAATACAGACAGAAGACATGAACATTTGAATAAATCAATCGGATTATTTTTTAGCGAGGTCATATTTGGTTTTCACCGGTTAAACGTAACTATTTTCAGTTTTGTTAAAATCTGAATACGGTAAACTTTATTTATTGAATTCATAAAGTTTGTCTTTAAACAGCTGTTGGTACCTTTGATAAAACAGTTTCCTTTTCTTTTCATAATGAGTTTAAAAATATTTCATTATAAAAAATGTTATTTATTCATTCACGCGCGCAAAAAAAATTCTAATTTTAATTTTCCAAGACTAATTTTCACGTTCATTAACTTTTTTAAAAATCAAATGATTTTCAAATTCTCTTTTTAAACAAAATTCAATAATTTTTTATTCTATCTTGTTACTATTTCTTATACATTATGATTAAAACTTAAAAATTAGTTTCATTTTTCAATTTCTCTTTATTTTTTGTGCATTTTTCGGGGCTTTTTGTGCATTTTCGTTTTTCCTCAAACCCTTTTAAATTTTTAAGATATCTTTTTTTTTTTTTAATAAAAAATCGTTTAAACCTTTTTCTTTTTTTAAAATAAAACATTTATTTACAAATAATTTTTGTTGCTTTAGCTTTTTAAAACTAAAAAACAGAAGAAATGTTTTTCATTAAATTTGCAAGGGATTTTTAAATGTTTAGTTTTTTTAGCAATACAATGCAGAAAAAAAATAACTTCTTACAAAAATAAAATTTCATCATCGAGTTGCCGAGCTAAAAAATAAAAATAAAATACTTTACTTTATCTAACCGTTTTAGGCTTCCGTAAATAAATACAAACAAAAACAATTAATTAGTGTCTTGCAAGTCCAGATTAAACCAGAAAAATACCCCCACCACGAATAATGGTCTCAGTTCTCAGCAAAATTAAAAATTGTTTGTGTAACGAAACTGTTAAAAAAATATTTGAAATTCTTCTTTACTATTTTCAGCCTCTTCTTCTCTAAGAAAAGAAAAATCGTTTTTTTTTTTCTTTTTTATCAAAATTCCACTTTATTTTACAAGGACTGGATTTGGAAAGAATATTGTAATTTAAACTTTAATAGTTGTGGGTTTTTTTTTTTTTGTTTTGTTTTTTTTACATATTTTTATGAAAACTTTTTTCTTTTAAATTTGTAGTTCTTTCTGCACAAGATGAAAGTTCTTCTTTTTGTGTTGTTGTCTGTGGAGAGCATGTAAGTTATGACTATTTTTTAACTTTTCTCTGATTTCTGCCTGAATTTGATGAAGACAACGTCTTAAATCTTTATTTTTGGTTTTGTTGAACTTTTCTTTAAGTTGCTGCATCTTCACTTTCATCACTTCTAAAATATAGAACTAAAAACATCAAGCATTCATCATTAAATGATACTAATTCTTTTTCTTTCAAATCTCACTAAACAGCATTTAAATAACCTCAGTTCATGCAGATAGGAATATAAGCATATCACATAACAAAGGCAGTTTTTCAATCAATGAAATTGAAAACACATCCAACTTGTTAATTTTTGGAGGCTAGCTGAATCCATGAAATCTTGTAAACATTTTGCAAAATATGATCCAATAAACTTTACTGAATAAAAATGCGAATGTAAATATAATTATTTGACATAAGAAAATAAAATTTTAAAAATTTATGGTGAGAAAAACAAAGCACATATATTGAAAAAGAATTTTTTTTTTAATAGTGAATATTTATGTGAAGTAAAATATAATTTAACTACACAACAAAATCACTTTGGTTACAAACAAAATATTTTCACAAAATATGATTTAATAAAAACTGGAAGAAAAAGTTAAAACAAGCAAAGATTTCTGTAAAAAATTTTGCAGGTGAGCATGACCAAAAAATAATTTTTTATATTAATAGTATAAAATGAAGAAATATGGAATTTTTCCCCTTTGTTAAATTTGAAAGGGAAATGTAGATTATTGAGATAGTATAGGAATAGATTTTCCTAAAAATTAATTTTTCATCATCGAAATAATTAAGAAAAATCATTGAAATTTTAATTTTTTTGATACTGTAGGATTGCATTGAAACCAAAATTTTGGTAGAGTACAAGACCAAATACATTTTTTCTATTAGTTATATTGATGAAGGAAAACAGAAATAAGCTTAATTTCTTTCAACTTTTTTAAGAACTTAATGCCTGTTATAACAATAATATATATAGGCCAGGAATGATTAATGCTTAATCATCAATAGCCTATTTTGTAGAGCCTATAAATTCCCAGTAAGTAGCTAATATATATTTTGTGTGTGTATGGCCATTGAGTTTTTAAAATATGTTAACAGCATCAGTATTCTTTTCAGTTGAATATAAATTTACCTCTTTGTGCTATTAAGAACTATTTTTATTTTTAAAAAAATAAATTTAAGTACTTCAGATGTACAAATTTTATATAAGTTACTAATAATTTAAAAATAAAATTTACTTGTAAAAAATGAAATCTTCTTAAAGAAGATAACACTGATTAATAACTTCTCTTCTTTTTTTTTAAAATGAAATTTCTTCTCTGTTGGAAAGAAAATTCTGAATTTATTTTTTTTATACAAAACACATTACATTTTTGTTTTTCAGAATTCATCTTTGAAAACCAATGTTCACATTTGGCCCAATAGTTAATCAGCGATGCCCTGTTTTTCAAGTTATGTAATTAAAATCTTTTAGACTACATAGAAACCCAATTCTGTAGATAAATAATTTAATAACTAGACTACTGAACTAGGAAAAAATTCCCAACTTTTTCGTCAAAAAAATACCAAGAAGAATGCATGTAGGGAGTATATAGTTTCAGTTGTAATTGTTGAGATGATAAATTAAAATGTTAACTACTAATGGATGAGAACATTTCACCTTTCAATAGTATGGATATCTGAATGACCATAATTATTATTAGTTATCCACACTCGACAAAGAGCAGCACCAAAATTTTATAAGTTAATTTTCAGAAGTTTTTTATTCTGAAAAAAATAGTCAGTTGTCTTGTATTTTAGAAAAAAAGAACACCTAAAAGGAAATTTATTTTCATAAAAGAATCAAGGAGCTGTATGGTTATGAAGAAATGTAATGTTTTTTGCTTTTTTATGTACTATTTGTCATTGACATTAACACTTTCTTTGACAAATTTAAAAACATACAAACTTGAATAAAATTGACTTTTTAAAAATAATTGAGAATATACGATTACCACCACTTATCATTTTTGTTGACGTAAAATTTTGGAAATTACCTCCCTTGAATTCCTAATTTTTTTTTTTTTTTTGACATCTTTAGATTAACTAGAGACATACATTTTGATTATTTTGTCTTCACTCAACAATGGCCACCTGCAGTGTGCATTGAGGGACAGAAAACGGTAAGTAAAACAAAAACTCAGGTAAAAAGAAATTTTTTAATTTTAGATTCATTGAAATTCAAACTGGAAACAAATGCCAGTTACACTATATACCCCGTCATAACTTTCTTTATATTTCAAACAAATATTAATACTCACCTACACAAAATGAAGTGTATATCCAGATATATATTCAGTTGTATTTAAACACGGAGAGAATAACACTTTGATCCTATGCAGTGCATACAGATGTAACACCGTTTCCTCACCCCACAGGACCCACACATCCCACAAGACCGGCCATTGATCCAGTATAGTCCAGTATTATAGGTTAGACACAAGTCTCCAATTCCCAATGTCAATACGAAGCCACCCTCCAGCCACATTGTGATTGTTTTGATCCTGAAGAGTGGTCATCAGATTGTAGAAATCTGGAAGCTCTCCGTTGGTCCACCTACAAGTTCATCGGGTGAGAATCGGGTTAACAGAAAAATAAATATAACTAAGTCAATTTGATTTTGAAAGGACAAAAGATTTTTTTATATATAAAAGCAAACACACAAAAGAAATAATTCTTGTTGCACAATAATTTTGATAAAAGAGATATGTGGCCTTCATTTTAACCCATTTTGGTCTGTTCTTAGCACAACTACTGCAACCTTCGATGTTCCCATTGTCAGTAGTAGTATTAGTAGCAGGAGTAGCGGTACTTAGATGTTAGCAGCGGTATTTCACTTCTTCACTCTCAGCTTCAGCAACTCACAGCAAATGCTTCCTTTTCAATCTCTGATGTCTCTTCACTCAGTTCGACTGCATTTGAAGACAGATGAACCCAAAACTCCCTCCTATGGTTGGCTCACTTCTTTACAGAGAACTGGCATATCTGTTTTTCTAATGCGGATGTACTGACATACTACCAAAGTACAATTTCACTCATCTGAGAATAAACAATTTATTTTTTCATCGATTGGTTTCCAAGGTTCACAACAAGACACTATTGTTTATCATCTTGCTATTAATTATTCTGCAGAGATTCTTGTTTTAAAAATAAATTCTAGATCAAAATATCCTTTATTTTAACTTTGATTCTTATAGTGTCAAAATCCATTTCTTGTTTTTAAAAGTTCCAAATTATTATTGTTCCAGTAATTTTCTATTAGTAATCTGATATCCTTTGTACACTTACAAAAAGATTGTATTTCATGTTCTAAATTAACTTTCTATAGAATTTACATTTCAAAGTCTTTACGGCATATTAACATCTTGGTTATTCGAAAACGCCTCTCATTCACTTGGTGTTTCTGTTTTACAGCATATCCTCCTTTATTATCATTATTATTATTATTTCAGGGGTGATATCGCCCTGCCACATAGATAATCTGACCCTAAGCAGAAGTGTGAGTCCATATGTAAATGATACCATCAAGCCTACTATTTTAGTACAAGTAATATTTTACCAACACAGTTTTAATCTAATAGAACAAATGTCTATGTCTCTAAAACTCCAGATGTTGGAAAGATCCAGATGAGCTAATAGTTTTAATGTGAAAGGACTAGAGAGCAGAATAATCAGATAACTTGAATACAAGTCACATTTGATTTTGAAAGTATTTTATAATTTGAAAAATAATAAAAAAAAATAATACTTTTCTAATTTTGTATTGTTTTGAAACTTTTTTTAAAATCATTTCATACCAAGCATGACAATAAAGCTATTAAGTTGCAAGGGGTTAGTGAGTGTGAGAGAATATGAGAAAAGAAAATATTATTATGGAAAGACAATAAAAGAACATGAATTAAAAAAACGGAAGATAACGATTAACATTGCATTTAAATATTTGAAGAGCAAAGTTGACAGGGAAGCAAGTAGTATGAGAAGAAATGAGTATATTAGCATAGAATTTATGATTGCATCTAGACATTTCAACTGTAAAATGATGAGACCTTACTGCCAATCTAATACTGTGCTTAAATTTATAAAGTTTTAGGTACTATAGAAGAATGTTCATCAGAACAATTACCATGAAAGTATACAAAAGACACACAGAAGCTATGTTATGGCAGTGGGAAAGTGACTAAAGCCAAGATACCAGGTCAGGACCAATAACATGCAGATTCTTTGAATTTTATCAAAAATTTATATAATATAATTTGAGCGCTTAGCCTTGGACCAGGTACAATGGAGATCAATGTGTTTTAGTGAACTCAGCAATTTTCAATCTGCTTGTCTGAATCATCTTCAAGAAGTGAGAGCAAGATCTAAAAGGTCAGCCAAGGTGATCTCATCTCACAATCCTCACACTTGCTCCATATGTGGCCTCCTTTGTAAATCACTAGTGGGTCTTAAATGCCACTTAAGATTATTGCACAAAATTTCATAACTGAATAAATAAGCTGTCAGATCCTCATATGTCGAAACCGACGGGAGAGTCCATTATTATTATATATATATATATATATATATATATATATATATATATATAAAGGGTCACTCTCTCTCTCTCTCTCTCTCTCTCTCTCTCTCTCTAAAAAGATAAGAATACTGACTGGAACACTACCACGGTTTTGACCGCCAAGGTCTTGTCAGGTGGTTTGTTCAGCGGATCAATCAGAGGCAAGGGAGAGTTGTAATGGGAAAAAATAAAAAATATAAAATAATGATAAAATAAAATTAAAATGAAAGGGAGAAAGAAAAATAAATAATAATAAAAAAATTTTCCAACTTTATCCAGGTTCATATAGCCCCAAAATTAACTTCCTAACATGTCTATATTTGGCCATGATCTCAGACCTCCCATTCAAAAACACAGTGCCAGCCTTGTATGTTGCAATAGCTAGCTTCTCTTGACACAGCCTACATGAATTGCTATTCAGTTTTCTATCGGCTAGAATCAATAAATTAAATATTCAAAGTTCAAACATATTTTGCATGTAAATTATTCCAAAAAGAAAATAGCAGCTTTATGAGTCGTAAATTTAAGAAACTATAGATCCCAAAGTCAAATCCATCTCAGGAGACACTTTTTTTGCACCTATGCAAATTTGACCTGTCACTCAAGCTACAAAAAGTGCTTGATGAGGTGACAGAGCAGTGTGATTGTGCTAGCAAACAGAAGACACGTGTATTGGATTGTTTGACTTAAGTTACACTGGTGAACAAAATGGATTAGAGAACTATTCCAAAAGCACAAAGAAACTGACTACACTAGCTCCATATATATACACTGAGTGCTGGTGGTAATAATAAAACAGTGCTTGATGTAAAATAACACCTAAAATTTATGCTAAAAATAAATATATATTTGTTCCTCACCACTTGATGCAACTCTGAGATTCATGCATATAAAAATCAGACCCAAATTTATATGCATGCATATGAATTGCATCAAGTGGTGAGGAACAAATATATACTTATTTTTAGTATATATATATATTATTATTAATTTTTCTGTCTACAATCAGCATTTGCTTTTGTCAAATATAAATATATCTGGTAAAATTTCAATAGATTGAATGGACCCTCTGAACCTGACACACATTGTTACATGAAACTTTGAAGTTGGTCAGTGAGACAAATCTTTACTAATTAATTTACAGATATGTACCCATAATAGCAAAAGAAAATTTGCATAAAGCATTTCAGTTGATTTTATTTCATTGATGGTAATTACTACCATTATTACATCCTTCTTAATGAACTTGGAGACAACCTCAAGAGTCCTAATGTTGTTATAAAAGTGTCCTTATTAATTTAAATTCTGCCAACTTAATGTAAATAACATTATCAACATTTCTGAATGACATAAGTATTTTTAAATTGTAAATGAAGCTGTCAGAATATATATTTCATCAGAAAGATTAATGAAAGATAATTATTTTTAAAGACATTATTTAAGAGTTTAGTGCTAGTTTATAATACTAAAGAAAAGTGTTAGTTTATAATACTAAAGAAAAGATTTCATTTATATATAAAAGATTTTCTTTGTCTTAGCCAATACTTGGTTGTACTTAGTTGAAAAGGAAATGTAAGTCACTTTGTTTTTGTTAATCTTATAATTTGGTTGAGGGATTATGATGGATGTCAAATATTTTTATCAAATTATGAAGACTCTGGAATAACAAACCAGCATTCATTTGTTGTTTGAGCTTTGTGTTTTAATCAATTACAGAACTGACCTGACACACCCAGGAATATGAAAAAAATAACAAGTTACATACAATGATTAGAATAATTTCATATGAACACTTTTATATGATTAGCATTTTTATCTGGTATGCAATCAGTGTGACTTTACTAATATTGTGTTGATGAAAAATTAAATTTTAGTATAAATTCTATTTTATTTAACATAGAACCTATCAATTATTGGCTTACAATTTTTTTCACTTGTATATTATTTTTACTTTCTTTTAACTTTTTGTGTTTATAAACTGTGTAACGACTAAATTTTTTTTTTGCTTTGTTTATTTTCAGGGACATCAGTGTTCAATTCCTACAAATGTTAAAGGATGGGTTATCCATGGTCTTTGGTAATAATTGGTTTTCTGTTCATTCAAACACAAGAGTCTTGTAATGTCATTCTCAGAAATAAATAAAATCACATTTGTTTTTGTGAATATAATTTTGTCTAAGGGTTTTATATTATAAGAAAAAACAACCTATCCAATAAAAAACATTTATAGATTTATTAAAAAAAGTACAAAGTCCTTGAGAAAGTAAAAAAAAAAAAAAAAAAAAAAGTAGTGCTCACTTGGGTGGTCTTATTAAAACCTAAAATTGTTTATATACAAAACCTTTTAAATTTTCACTTTGGACTATTCCTTTCTTTTTACCCTTTAAATCCATAAGGCCAATATTTCGGTTTCAGCACTACTTTATTCTACACTGTAAGCCTAATATTTTGATATTTCAGGCTCTGTGAGGTCAGATAATACTATTAAAAGGCTTAATATGATGATGAAATAAGACACTGGAATTCCAATCTACCAATGGCTAAGAGGCCACAATGTCATGCCTACCCAGTCGAAGCAGCAATTTACAATTTAGGTAAAGTGCATGTGTGGTTCTACTGCTTTTAAAACTATTGCTAATTTGTATGCATAGTGAAAAAGCTGAATAAAATGTGATCCACACAGATGAGCAAACAGAAGGATCTACAGAACTTGGCCTTTGCTATGTGCAACTATCAACTACAAGCTATTTCAGCAGATTGAATTTCTTCCATTTCGTTAAGGACAAAATATTTGGCTATCAATTCATTCCAGAGTTTGTTGGTACCACTACATACAAACCATTTATACAAAGGAATATATGTCAGAAGCAACCTGTGCCCAGCTGCACTTTATGTGATCACAAGATCAGGGGGAAGTGTGGTGAAATAGGACCAAGGAATTCCAGCCTACCTGTGGCTAAGAGGCCACAATGTCTGCCCAGTCAAGGCCACCATTTGCAATTTATGTAAAGCACACAACCTGAATAAATGGTGATCTGCACAAATGAGCAGACGGAAGTCTTCTACAGAACTTGACGTGTGCAAGGATCAACTACAAATATATCAACTATTTGCAATCTTTCTTTTAATGGAATGATAGGATAGTTTTCTTTTAATTCACAGAAAAGTATGATAGATCTACTTTGAGGTCCAAAGGAATAAAGTTGAAATGCTTAAAAAGAAGTTGGGGTGTACATCCTTGAATATGATATAGTTTTAACTCCAGAAAGATTTGTTTTTACTTGAAGTTATTGATATTCCTTTAACAAGATACATTGGATAAAACAATGCAAACTGTATTAAAATATTTATAGCACTTATACAAATCCCACAAATCAATAATCCTATTGTTTTCTAGGCCTTCAAGAAATATGAATAGGGGTCCATTTTTCTGCAATAATTCTGACACTTTTGATGAAAATAAGTTAAAGGTAAGTAAAATTTATTTCTGATTTAATTCACAATTTGTATGTCACCAAATTCATAAACCAATCTTTTAATTCATTATGTTATTCAATCCCCTGAGCCAGGTAGTACAGATTCAGACTCAATGGAAACACATCAAATAATAACTGAGCAGTACTAAGAATAAGAATAAGACAAGATTTCCTCAGACATGGAAAATAGAACAATAACAATCTACCTCTATCGAATAAATAACAGGTTCAGTTCAAAATTCCCTGAAGTTTATCCGAATTGACAAGTACCTGAAGAAGGCTGAAGTGTACAACACCTGAAATGTCCTCTTTATCTATTATATCTGTTTACCATCTATTTTAAAGCTTTAAAACTTGCAACTTGACTATTAATTCAAAATTCCAAAATTCAGGACATTTTATACAGACAGCCTGCCATCTACACAAAACAAACTAGCTTTCATTCTAACGTCACACATGTTGCTATAATTCAGCAAATAAACCTTTAGATTCCAATAAGTATTTATTTTTAGCAATAAAACATGAAGCAGTTAATAATGCTATGTGGATTTATCAGCCACTTACTAATGATATAGTATTGTTAACAGAAAGCGTTACTTGACACTAATAATTAAACATGTATCCTGTTACCATAATCGTATCTCATTAGTAAATAATGAAAGCAAATTGTTAATACCTTTCCCTTTATTTCACATTAGTTTTCTTTGGGTATCTTCTTTTAATGAGGTAAAAAGCAGATTTTTTTTTTTACATCCAACAGGGTTAGAGTTAATTGTTATAGATAAAAATCCTAAATTACTCATGCAGAAAATATAAGCAAGAGCCATTGCAAATTGACTTAAGTGTTACTATTTTTTTTTTTTACTATATATGTAAGCTAGTGTATTTATAAAATGCAAATATTGTAATTATTAGCAAAATATCTTCAGTAGAAAATAAAAGTAATTACATGAATGCATACTATAAACCATTTCTTAAATTTTAAAGGCAAAATAATTTTTTCAGATTTAATTGACTAACAATATTGATTTGTGTGTGAAAGAGATTCAATATACCTTTTATTTGATCATTAGAAGACAGAGTTGTTAATGACTTACATTTGTTTATAAATCATAAATTTATCTTTGTAGCCAATTGAGGAAGAACTAAGATTGTATTGGCCAAATCTCTTTTCTGATAGTCCGGACTTATCATTCTGGTAAACATTTTTTTTTATTTATTCTTCTACAAATTTTCTTTTCATCTTTTTAATGGTTGGTGTTATTTATACTGATTTTTGTTTTTGGTCTTAACAATTTCAGTATTCATTAATGTTCATGTCTTTATTAGCTTTCTTTGTATACTTTGTAAATTTTCTTTCAGTCAATTAGTTTTTACCATGAATTTTCATACCATTTTTCCATTTTCTACCATCAAAATTTATTTTTGTAAAAACTCTAGAAACGAAAACTGCTGTTGTTTGGGAGTACAGCAATGCAGTTCCAACATTCAGAAATGTCTAAGAATTGAGACTTGCTGAAATTGACTACCCACTACAAATTTATATAAAAACTGATATAAAATATAATTCTTTCAAATAAATAAATACAATTATTTTGACAACAATTTTCTGAATTTAATTTTTAATTTGTTTTTCTGTAGGAAACATGAGTGGAAGAAACATGGCACTTGTTCTCTGTCTGACAAATTAATTCCAGACGAATTTACTTACTTCAAAACTGCTTTGAATTTGTACAAAAAGTATAATATTACAAGGTAAAATAATTTATAATCACTTCATTGAAAAATAAATTAAAAATTGAAATAATAATTCTACAATTCAAAATTATTTAAATATTCATCAATCCAAAAAAATATTCTTAGATTTAGTTAATTGAAACAAAAGGATTATGATAGAAATGTAGCTTGTGTAACTGTTTTAGCATGATTAAATAAAAGGGAGACAATTTTTATTAAATTATAAAATTATTTTCCTTATTTCTGAAACGAAAAGAATCAAATTAATTCTCATAGAATGAAAAACACAAATAAAAGATGAAAATCATTACTAATGAAATAACTCTTTATAAAAAATTATGTATTTTTTCCTTAAATGAAGCATTATCAACCATTATTATTAATTTTAACGTATTTACTTTTAGCTACCACTATAATTATACCAATAGGGGACATAAATTGAAGGGATAAATTAGATTAAAGTTAGATTTGACCTTCTGTGAGCTTTAAGGTTTGAACCACAAATATTTTCAACCAGGTTTCTCTGAGGCAAAAAAGGACATGAGTTCAACCAGGGTGGAGAGTTCCCCAATGGCCAAGCCAGCAAGTTGGAAGGCATCAGCAGGAGTTTGACCTGGAGAGGTTTGTCTCTGCCAGGTCTACTTGCTCAAGACACACAATATATAAATGAATAATGCCACTCCAGCTTTCAATCCAGATATGAGGGGGCAACTTGTCAGATGCTCAGTTGTACAACATCTCTGCAGGTGCACCCTGTCATGATACTGATAATGCTTATGATGATGCACTGTCTACTCATTGTTGTAGTTCAACAGCCTGCATAAAATTGCAATCAGAAACAGCCAAAAAATTAAGATTAATGTAAATACTAGTCAAAATAATAATAATGGCTAAAACTATTACTTCTATGAGATGTAAACACTATATTGAATGGAGAAAAAAATAAAATGTAGCTGATTAGATTTAAATCTGCTTGCTGATTAGTCTTTTTGACCAAACTAATAAGTTATAATTCATGCTAAGATATTCCCAGTTGATGTAACTAGATAACATTGGGCAGTTTTTGTAAAAATGAATTCACTTTGTATATAGTATGTTATCATAACACTCTTTGCATGTCATATGCTGCCTACTTTAGTTGTAAAATGTAAAATGACCTGAGATATGATTGAAAAAATTAACATTAATAAGATAAAGAAAGGTCAAAATAAATTAATAAAATGTAATTGTTGTTATTATTATTGCTTTTTAATAATTTCTCTAAGATCAATTTGCTTTTATTTTTCAGTATCTTAGGAAATTCTGGTATAATTCCCAACACTTACACCTCATATAAGGTCAGTTATATTTCTTTTATAATGAATCTTCTTAATTCTACAAAAAATGAGTTTTGCTGAATTGTTGAATGTTTTTTTTATAAATTTAAAGCCTAATGATGGATTGTGGGGACCTTTTAAATGTTATTAACTACATTTGGGAACTTGCTTTTATGATTGTGTCAGACATCAAAATCAAGGTACTTCTCAATTTTTGCTGCTGAGCAAACTATATTCATACTTGTATATATGTTAACTTTTTATTGTCAATAACAAAACTGGAGTGCAAGTTGCTTAATGGTTAACAGTACAGAAAATTGAATTGCAAGTGGAGTTCAAATTCCAACTGAGACAATTTGTGTTCATTTTGCATTAAAGCTCTTGAGTAAAACATATATCCTTCTCTTATCCTCTCTCTATAAGTTAAATATAGGTACCTCCATTAATTCATGATACTTAAGGTTTAAAATGAAATTTTAAAATTAAAAAGTTTTCTTTTTAGCTTTAATTGAAAGCTAAAGGATTAAATTTACTATTTCCAGTAAGCAAAATACTATGCAGTGTATTTCAAACAGAAATCAATTCACTTTTTTTAGCTAATTAGCACTCTTTTTTAGTCATGACAATGTAATTTTCTTTATTAAAAAATCTTCCAAAAATAAAATCTACTTTTCTGAAACTTTATTTGAGAAATAATGATTTAAAGTATGATTAATCTGATTTGAAATAAATATAAATAATATAAACAAATAATGATTTAAAGTATAATTAATCTGATTTGAAACAAATATTATTTACTTTAAGACAGACATAACATAGGAATGGATTTTTAAAATGAACAGTCGCAGTAGTTATGTACTTGTCATCACTTATCAATCACATAACAAGTGTTGATAAAAATGTTGACAATTTTATTGTTGTTCTACAAAGACTTTATCTGTTAAAATATAATTTAAGAAAATGACTCATGAACACTTTTTTATATAATTTTTAAGTTCTCAGTAATCTTAAAAATGTTGTAAAATATTCTCCATAATCTAATTTTAGGAATTGTCTTTAAATTTACTATAGTCATCGATCTTATTTTCTGATAATGTCATCTATGGTCACTGATACTTTCAAAATGTATGCACATAAAAAAAATTAAAATTAATTTAAAAATCTTAGTGCATGATAATTTGTATTAAGCTTTTCAGTTTTTATTAAGTAAATCTAGTCTTCACTTAATAACTTAATAATCTAATGCACTCAAAGTTTTGAAGAATTTTCAAAAGATTTTTGAAACTTTATAAATTATTATAATTAAAAAAAATGATTATTATTATTCATCAAAAATATTTTTTTTCTTAAGACTATAATGTCTTTAATATATATTATTTATAAAAGCAATGAGTCCTGCTTTCAATTAATAAAACAAAGAATTTAATTTCTTAAAATTTCATGAAATTAAGTAACTGGGAACGGTAACATGTAAAGACTTTCTAAAAATAATAATTTCAAAAATAATTTCATTCATTTGTAAATAAGTCCTGAAAGTTAGTTTAAAATCTAACAATTACTTGATTTTTGTAAGAATTTCCAAATTAATTTTTTACCATAAAAAAAAAAGTGTTAAAATTTTCATAGCTTTGTTACACGACTGACGGGGGAAAAAAACAAGATTTTTAACCAAAATTTCGAATGTGTTGGAAAGGATTAAAAAAATTTTTAAAATAATTAAAAAAATCTTTGGTTTTTCCTCATAATAATAGCATAAACATTTTGACAATAAAATTTAGTTTTTTTTAAGCTTGGGGCCTTTATTCATCATGCTATGCTGCTTTTTCAGTGAAAAAGTAGAGGTACCTAGTTAAATAACAGTAGACTAGGCTTTGCAGCTTTAGATGGCAGTCTGTCTAGAAGAACAACTATGAATTCAAACCCCCTTGAGTAGACAATAGGAAATCACTCTTTTCCAGGAACAATCATGACTGTGTATAGTTTATATATATATATATATATATATATATATATATATATATATAAGGAGGCTGTGGAGAGCCATAGCCGTCTACGTCTTAACAGAGAGCACTTTATTCTGTATCTATAATGACTAATCACAACATTTGAATCAAAATCACATCAAATTTTAAAATCAAGCATTTATGGTATTCTTTGTTTGCAGAAAACTAAAAACTAAAACATCTTTTATAATTTATGTTTATCATTTTGCCTTTGTTTCTCTCCTGGTTGTTTTTTTGTTTGTTTTTCTATCTCCAAAACAATTTCAAAGACTAATTTGCTCAAATGTCTTGTCAGTGATTTTAACAGAATTTACAATCTTTCACTTGCGTCATTCAATAATGTATTTAAAAATTTTATTAAAGATACAAAATTTCATTATAGTAAACCAAACTGACAGGACTGGTCCACTCATAAAAAATAGGGGACATTTTTTAGATTAGAATTCTTTAGACCTTGCTTAGACCACAATGTTATGGATTTAAAACATTTCAAAGGAACAGCAGGAAGACAAGATGCTGACAACCTTAACAAAAGAAATGACATTATTGGTATCTCTCCACATCAGTCCCCTCCCCAAAATTCATCAGAATATATATAAGAGGAAGGGTATGTTACTTTACATACAAGCACAAAGGAAGAGTTCATTTCATAACACACAACTCTTGTTAGAATTGAAAAATATTGATTAGTTAACGATTTTAAAGATTTTTTTTTTTCTTTTTGCAAAAGAACAATAGATATTTACATTTTTATGTGTTTTAAAAAATATCTTCAACAAGAAGAATTTTCTTTTCTTTTTTCATTAAAAATACAAGCAGATATTCACATTTTTAATTAAAGAACAGATTTTTTCCAAAAGTATAAAAATGTTCCAAAAAAAGAGGAGTAAATTTTTCAACTGTTTCTGAAGAATAGTCAATATTTTGGTTTAATAAATTCATAAAAGTATATATCTGTTTATTCTTCATTTAAGATAAATAATTAGTATACCACAATGTTTAAAAACAAATTAAAAACTTAACACTGAAAATTAAAAAAAACAGTGTGCAGATATGAATGATGTAAGCACATGACTTCTCATTCTGTATAACTCTTTAAAGTCAGGTATTGATTTTACACTGTATCTCTATTTTGAACAAAGCTCCATTTCTAAAATGATAGCTACTAAATATTTTTTTTTATTCTGACAAGTGTTGTAGCCTAAGGAAGATCTAAAGAATACTAATCTACAAAAATTATTCCCCCGCCACTCAAAAAAAAAATTTTCTTATTTTTTACAAATGTACCAGTCTACTAGTAGTATGAATGGACATAATTAAAAAGATGATTAAAAGGGTGTGGCGGACATGAGACAGAACCTGGGACGAGCACAACTGGTCGCGACTTGCCTTGTCCCCGCCAAAAAAGAGCCCGTATTTGCTTAGCATGTAAAGCTACTGCAGTTGAAATGAGGGAGAGAAAAAAAAGCACTTACCGCTCTGACGTAATCCATCCTCGGCCAGATAACATAAAAGAATGAGGGGGACTGGCATCGCATTTTTATCCAATAATGATGCAATGCATTATGGGACATGGACACAATGCATTATGGGACATGGACGCAATGAATTATGGGATCACAGGAAGACGCAAGGGATTATGGGTACATGAACAACTATAAAACAACTACTTTTTTCCAAGTCGGCGAGTTCTTCGAGGGACGTTCACGGTTGACGCTAGAACGGGCAGTTAGTGTGATTTGGAGACAGAACTCAGGAACGACTCAAGTTTGAAATACCAGTTGGGAGAGCTTGAATTTACTCGCTGGTTACTGTTTTTCTTCATTAGCCTCAAGCTATTTCGCATATTGATTCTTCAAAATGGAAGGCAAAGTCTTTGACGTCCGTTTGATTCCAGAATTCAGCGGCGCCCAAACGGATATGCCCATTGTTGAATGGATAGAAAATGTGGAATTGGTCTGCGAACTTTGTGCCATGGACAAGATCGGCGCATCTTGCCTTTTACGACTTGAGGCGGTGCCTCGCTGTATATAGACAACTCAGTGGAGAGCAGAGGGCAGACGCGAACAAATTAAACGGGCCCTTATGACTGCATACGCGACTGACAAATTTAATGCGTTCGACCAATTTATGGACGGCTGTCTTCGCCAGGGGAAACTGTGGATGAATTCCTGGCTGAAATGCATCGTTTGGCGCGGCTAGTAGGAGAACCGCTACCTGATCGGTGGATGGCATGTGCATTTGTGTCAGGACTGCCACATCATGTTAGGCAGCTTCTCAAAAGCTTCTTCCAGGATGGACGACATGAATCTAGAACAGATTCTGACCCGAGCAAGGGCTATTATGACGGATGACGAAGGGTGCCAGGTATTGGCCGCCACATCCGTGAGAGCCAACGCTCAGAAGCTGAGGTTCCCCTGCCAAACCTGTTAGCAGAACGATTACCTGCTACAAGTGCTCTGGACCCAACCATATGGCGAAGAATTGTACACAAGGACGTCAGGAGAGGTCAAACAGAACGCAGAGGTCTGGTCGCGACCAGCGGTGTTTTCGATGCAACGGCATCGGACACATTTCCTCAGAATGCCAGGGAAAGCCCAGGGGAGAAAGGCGTCAGCGCCAGCCTTCTCCCCGAACAAGTAAAAACCAGAAGCTACCCACCGTTATAAGTATTTGTAGATGGAGTAGAGTGCACAGCTCTAGTGGATTCGGGATGCTCACAGACTCTGGTGAGCAAGACTGTGTGTCGCTGCTGGAAGCAGGAAGAGGTGGGAGTGTTGACTGCCGGCGGGAAGACCCTGAAGTGCCGTGGATACGGTAAAATTAAGTTAGGCGTCGAGCATATTCAGCCCGTGACTGTTGAGGTTCTGGTCATTGGAAGGGCAGTTGCTGGGATTCGATCTTCTTCTCGGGATTGATGCAATCAAAGTGCTCGGAGGTGTTTACTTGACCCGAATCAGGCGAAGCTTCGTTTCGAAACCTGAACACATGTGCCGCCATTGTTATCAACAAGCCTGACTTTAGAGTGACGTTTAACCCGAGCACAAAAACGTGGACTGCATTGTGGAAGTGGGCGGTGGTTATTCACCTAGCAAGTTGGTTAATAAAGTACAGGAGTACACAGTACCTGGCCACGTCCGGGATGCATACGATGAAGAACTAGCACGGTGGCAGCGAGACGGATGGCTACTGCCATATCCTGAGAAAGAGCTTGGCCCACCTAAGGATTAATTCCCTTAATGGCGGTCGTACAAGAACACAAACAGAAGGTCCGACCGGGTACTTGACTATCGGGAGTTGAACGGCTTTGTAGACGCATTCACGGCTGACGAGAGGTGTGTGCGCAGAAATTACGAGAATGGCGACGACAAGGAGCTGACGACGCTGTTGGATTTGAGAAATGCGTGCCTACAGATTCACATTGACAAATCGCTATGGCCGTTCAAACAGTGGTCATTAAGGGCAAGCGTTTTTTTTACGCGTTTGGGTTTTGGCCTGAATGTGGCACCTCTTGTCATGAAGTCAGTGATCGACATGATAACGTCCCAGGATCAGGACATTAAGAGTGCCACGTCGGCATCGTCGGCGATATCTTCATAAATGAAGGCCTAGTTTCTGCAGCGCGTGTAAGACAGCACTTTGCAGATTACGGGCTAGTCTGTAAAGATCCGGGCGATTGAGAGACGGAACTAAGGTCCTGGGTCTGCAAGTCTGGGAAGAAAGCAACTCCCTTCGATGGAAGCGGGAGGTCAAGTTCAGAAATTGCTCAAAAAGGTGACCCGCCGAGCGTATTTTCCTTGTCTTGGAAACTTGTGGGTCATTTCCTGTGTCTGCGGTTGGCTTAGGGTGGCAACTGCATTTATTAAGAGTTATGCAAGCACACTAACCAAAGGATGGGACGACGAGATAAAGGATGCCCCTCTTGGGACGTATGCTGGAGGAAACAGTGGCCAGAGTGCGGGAATCAGATCCTGTCGGCGGAGACTGGTGTGTGAACGGCAATGAAAATGACAGTTTGGGTGGATGCAAGCTCCGTGGGCCACGGGGAGTAGCACTAGAGGTGAATGGGAGCGTCGTGGAAGATGCTTGCTGGTTACGTCCAACCAATGATGCCAAACACATTAATCTTGCTGAGCTTGATGCGGTGATCAAAGGCGTGAATCTTGCCCTGCAGTGGCAGGCACCAGTTATGCATGTGGTCACCGATTCAGCATGTGTGCATCGGTGGGTGTCTGACACCCTGACAGGAAGGACGCCGCGTGAACACGAAGGCAGCGGGTGAAATGCTGATGAGGCGGCGCTTAGAGACACTGCGAGCTTTGGTGGAGGAGTACGCACTGACTATGACTGTGACGTTGGTGAAATCTTGTCAGAACCGCTGACAGCCTCACCAGAGTGCCCGCAACGCTGGTTGGAGATGCACAAGAAAGGAGGAGAACCGGTGCAAGTGGTTGTGTCACTGCAACGAGCCAGTTGAGCAAACGCCAGGTGACCCACATCCACCAGCAGAGTGGGCACCCAGGTGTTAAAAGAACAATGTACTTTGCTAGGACTGTAGATCCAACGTTGTCTAAGGAACTGGTAAAATCTGTCGTTAGAACCTGTGAAGCCTGCCAATCGATCGATCCAGCACCAGTGCATTGGAAGAAAGGAAATTTGAGTGTGAGAAAAAACTGGAGCAGGTTAGCAATGGACGTAACCCATTGCAATGGTAGCCATTTTCTTCACGCTCATTGACTGTGGTCCCTCCCGTTTTGCAGTATGGCGGCCACTGAGACGGCAAGACTCTGCTGGTGTCATTAAGTCAGCTAGAGACAGTCTTCTCTGAACAAGGCCCGCCGACGAAATACTGACTGACAATGACACCACGTTCACTTGCAGACAATTTAGGGAATTTGTAAACAGCTGGGGCGTGCATTTGAGGTTCCGGTGCGCTTACGTGCCGTCTGGAAATGGCATTGTGGAACGCAACCACAGAAGCGTCAAAACCATAGTGGCCAGGAAAAATTGTTCAGTCTTGGAAGCGGTTTACTGGCATAACGTCACCCCTAAGGACAACCTTTCACCTTCCACGGCACCGCTGATGTACTGCACATACCACGTCCGGGTGAGAGGCATCGACGCGGACGCCCCGCCTGAATCACAAATAACCGAAGGGGAATACAAGGAAGGGACATTGTCTGGGTTAAGACTCCATGTGGTAAATGCACGACCAAATTTGGAACCGGACGTGTGACCGAGGTGGTGAGTCAGCAGTCAGTGCGGGTCGATGGAACGCCTGCGTCATGTTAGAGACCTCGCCCTTTTTTGGGCTCGAATCCCACAACTGACGAAGAAGACACGGAGGATAGTGAACAGCCAATATACATAGAGTTGGATTCAACAACCAATCACTCCGATAGCGGTGGTTTGCCAATAGATCGGGACGTGTCTAATGAGAGCTCCTCTGATGAAGAAGTTCAACCAATCCCCCTCGGAGGAGCACCGGAACAAAAGACCGTATCCTCACTGTCATCTGTGTGATCCGGAGATCAGGGGAGTGTGGCGGACATGAGACAGAACCTGGGGCGAGCACAACTGGTCGCGACTTGCCTTTGTCCCCGCCAAAAAAGAGCCCGTATTTGCTTAGCATGTAAAGCTACTGCAGTTGAAATGAGGGAGAGAAAAAAGCACTTACCGCTCTGACGTAATCCATCCTCGGCCAGATAACATAAAAGAATGAGGGGACTGGCATCGCATTTTATCCAATAACGATGCAATGCATTATGGGACATGGACGCAATGCATTATGGGACATGGACGCAATGAATTATGGGATCACAGGAAGACGCAAGGGATTATGGGTACATGAACAACTATAAAAACAACTACTTTTTTCCAAGTCGGCGAGTTCTTCGAGGGACGTTCACGGTTGACGGCTAGAACGGGCAGTTAGTGTGATTTGGAGACAGAACTCAGGAAGGAACGACTCAAGTTTGAAATACCAGTTGGGAGAGCTTGAATTTACTCGCTGGTTACTGTTTTCTTCATTCGCCTCAAAGGGAAAACAACTATGACAATTTAATACGAAAGAAAGAAAAAAACAAAATAGATGATCTAACTGCTTATCACTCCTCACTCATCAGTACTTGATCAAGGAAAATTAACATTTTTGTGCACAACTAAAAGAATAGATGAAATAGAAAATACACTGTATCAATACTATACTTAAAAAAGTTGAAAATACTATTTTCATTAAGTCAAGTCTTAGTTAGAATTGCTTGAACTCAATGTGATTTGTCTTTAAAAAATATATACATCTCAGTATATTATTGATATGATCTATTTTCTATTTCATGTTTCCTTTTAATTGGTTCTGCACAAAAATTTAAATTTTCCTTGATCAATTTTGATGAGTGAAGAGTAATAATGAGTTAGCTCAGTTTTTTTTATTTCTTCTTCTCTCTTAAACTATCATAAATGGTTTTCCCTTTTTATCTTCTATTAATTATCTGTTTTATTATGCTATAATGTATTTAAAATGATGCATTCACTCTTAATTCTTTTACATGCTAGCAACTATTTTGTTGTTGTTAACCTTACATTGACTCCTTGGAACAAGAGACTTAAAATCCTGACAGTTTAGCAGAAAATCATTTGTCATATAAATAAGCTGAAAATAAGAAACATTCATTTATTTTACTTCTGTCTCACAAAGAATTTACAAACATTGTTCAATTTTATTTATTATAAATACTTTTTTATAACTTCCGTAATTCTTTTTAATTTACAGAGTGATGATTTTTGTAATGCTGTTGAAAATTCTTTGAATACTGTTCCTGTTGTTACTTGCATTTATGATAAAGTAAGTAAATTTTTTTCCTTGACTCATTTGCTTCAAGATTAGAGAAGAAAAATTTACTCTAAATGCTAATATTGTTCAGCACATACTTTCAATTTTTTTTCTTTTTTCTACAATGCAGAAATTGTTTACTTATAATAAAAATAGTAAAGGATACAAATAAGATCAAAATATGCACATCAGAAATAAAACAATTTCACATTTTTTATGAGGGTTGATTGATAAATAATATCTCCTATTTAGAACAGATATAATGATGAAATTACCTAATGGAGTAAATTTATTTCTCTTTGCAATTACAAGCTTATTTTTTTAGTCATCATTTAGTGTTAAATATGTTTTCAATCATCTGTGTTTTCATTCCAGCTAGGAATAAAGTTTCTAGCTTACTTTTCATACAAAAAATATGGACCTTCCAGTGCCTCTTTTAATTTCAAGAGCAGCTACAAGTTTGATCTTTACCAAACAAAGGCTGCAAGAATTGTGAATATCAGGTTTCTTACTGCCTCTGTTATCATGATACAAAAAAGAGTCATCCTTTAAAGCCTTACACTGTGAATACACTGAGTGCCTGCATGGTTTCATTGGTTTCATATGTCTGTTAATTTCAATTGATTCATACCCTTTTAATGCCAAAAAATCTATCATTGATCATTGCTTTAAATATAATTCAGACGTAGTACTCGCAATTTACAAAAGCTATTCCTCAATTCTGTCACACAGCAAAATGGCACTAAGCACATTTAAACAGAATTTACTATACATAATGTCAAATTTTATTATGCAAGTTAATGTTTTCACAAACAAAATTGGTTTTTCCAACTGGTAAAATTTTCAGAATATACTTATATTCATATGATAAATATTATAAACGGGGGGTTGATTTGGTTTTTAATGGCATTTCAACTCCTTATGGGTCATGTAATAGTGATTTAATGGTAATTTTTTTTTTAAATTTATTGCTGGTTTTTTTTTTTTTTTCGCATTTGTTTTTTACTATGAACATATATTACTGGTAATTTTTTCTAATGTATTTTTATGTTTTCATGTTTTGACCCCAGTTTGGGATTTCACTATTTGCCCATAGTCTGAAATGAGTCTGATCGCCTAGTGTTTCATTATATCTTTCACGTAGTGGAGGGGTAATAATTCCATATGAGAGGCATGATAATGTGTTTCTCACATCATGCTCAAGGTCGAACCTTGAACACCAAAGCCAAGCAGAAGATCTCTTCAATGACGAACAGCCACTTCATAAAATCTAGCAATAATTTATTAGCAGGAAATGTTAAATAAACATGTGTCAGCTACACATCTCAATAGCAAAATGGTGATTTTGTGTATTTCTGGTGTTTGTTTTATGATTGCTTCAATTCTCCCTGTTCTTATGAATGCAAAGTAGTGTTAAGAATTTGTCCTTCTCAAATCAGATTTCAACTCAGAAACCCAAGCAAATGTTTATTATTATCAGAACACCTTTGAGAAATTCGAAAGTTATTTACTTTACACAAAATTCATTCAAGGTTTTACTCTTCTCACATTCCCTCATCAATTGCATTTTATATATCTGCTGTAATTTTAATTTTCTGTTTCTTTTCCAATTTTCCTCTGAATTATTTAAGACATCCCTTGGGGAGTTTTTGCATTGTATTTCTAATTTCTAATCACCATTTTGCATACTCATGCAACTAAACATGAAACCAGAGCCAGTACCTTGTTATAATATACTATTTGAATTTCAGCTAATAATATCTGTTCTTACAAGAAATATTTAGAATGATATTGACATTTTATTATCTCACTTGAGGGTTGTTCATTGTATTTTAATTTTTAATGTATCTGTTGTGCCATGGGTAGTAAGAATTTGTAACTTCAAAAGAGAAGCAAGATATCATTAAGTTATTAAGTGATGGCAATATAACATTGGAAATTGTGAAAAGGCTGAACAGAACTCTTAGAACAATCAAAAAAAGAAATTGTAAATATTATCAAGAAAAAAAACTGGCTTTAAAAATATCACACAATGAAAATTTGATAAGAAAATATTTGAAGAAGCTTGTTTTGTGAATGTAAACAGAAAATTGCAGAATATTATGAAAAATCAGATCAGCAAAAGTCATGTAAACAAACTACCATCTTTAAGTAAACCTCACCAAGAGAAACATGTAAAAATGAGTAAAGAAGTATATGAAAACTGATTTCTTAACAATAATTTTTAGTGATGAATTTAGAATGATATTGGATGGAGCTGATTGCTGGGCTAGAGGTTTGGTCTTTCATGAAAATATTCAAACACAACTTAGAAGACAACAGAAGTGAAGTGATTTTTTGGACATGTTTTGTAGGCAGTAAAATTATTGATCTCTTCAAAGTTGATGTATCAAGATAAATGAGACTATTATTCTAAATTCTTCAATAACATGTTTTTAATGGTAACGGATAATGCTAGATAATATATTCATGCAAGATAGTGATGCTAAACATTTTGTGAAGCTAACTATTGCCCACCTTGCCAAAAAAAAGGTTTCAAAGACTCCAAATTAATGATATGGCTCCCAATTTCTCTAGATATTAATCCAATAAAAAACTCATGGTTTATCATTAAAAAAGAAGTATATGAGAATAAAGATCTCTGAGAAGCAATAAAAACTGGTGCAAATAATGTTAAAGTCAAAAGGATAGAATAAATGGCTGATGGTAATTATCAAATGTCAATGAACCCATTAATCATGTGAAATAAAAAATGAATAAATGTTTATTTAGGTAAATGATATAATGTTTTAATCAAATATGTTTCTATCACTGACATCTTTTGAATTTATATATAATTAAAAGTTAATTTTGTATTTGGTTTATATGCATAATAAAATGTGACACCAGAAAACAATTTATTACTAAAATTTTAAATTAGTATAGATATTATAAGCTGAAATTTACATGGTATATTTATCATATAAAGATATCCTGAAAGTTTTAACAATATTGGTTGGTTAATACCAATTTTATTATAAGAACATTCACTTGACAAATACAATCTGATATTGTGTACTACCAAAACGTTTTTATCTCTACTATTAATGATGCCACTTGGTAGATCATACTTAGCACTCAACCTTCATAGAATGATTGTTGAAAAACTACCTTTTCTTGTTTTTGCACTTGTCCTGAATCCCATGTCCATTATGAGTGCAATACACAAGTGTAAACTTATTTGCTGACCCGTAACTTCTTTTTTGACAAAAAATTTCTTCAGTCCTTTTAAAAATTTAAAAATGTTGCCAGTGTTTCATTTGAATTTCTTGTTTGTTACAGATAAGTACACATCATTATTTACTGCAAATAGAAATTTGTGTGGACAAGGATTTTAATACAATTGATTGTCCAGAAAGATCTTCAGGTCATCATTCAAATAAATACACACTCTACTACAAGACAAAACAGGATGATTCTTGCGCAAGATGTTCTTCAAATAAAGGTATCTGGTATCCTCCAATTACTTCCTACAATGTCAACCATGGATAAAGGACAACCACAATTGAACAACAACTTCATAAATACATATGCCTCTAATGATTGCTGTCCACAAACAGTATTATGTATTCTCAGAAAAATATTTGTTGTTCATGTATGCTTCTGAAATCATTACAACTCATTTAATGGTGATAAATTGGCTGTTTATTTCCAATTCAGTTAAATAACTTTCCATTCAATTTTTATTCAATATTAAGGCTTTCTTTGAAATGCCAAAATGATACATATCTAAAAAGGGAATATCGGGGCTTAAGATTAACATTGTTCTGTCATCTTGGTGTTGACAGAATATTAGTTTGGGATGACTGGTAAGGTTTTGGAGATGATTCTAGGATAATATCAAATTTTAAATTAAAATTGTTATATTTATTCTAAAAGTAACAAAAAATAAGCAAAACATAAGTGCTTCTTTTTAAACTGGTGACTGAAACCCAAATGAAAGTTAAAGGACTTAAACTTACTTATTTGTATTATTTATCTCTAAATGTAAAAATCATAAGGATCAAATATAAGAATGAAATTTTTTTTAATAAACAAAACAAGAAAATGTTTTTTTGTCAAATTTTGGTTAAAAAATTTGAATGAACCATTAACAAACAAAATTTATGTTTTCTGTTCATCATAAACCAAATTCAAAATACAATGAGTTTAAAAAATGAAAAACAAATACAGAAAATTTGCTAACGCCATGAAGCAGATAATTGTAAATTAAAATTTATTGATAAATGCTTTAAAAATATTTTTGATTGTGAATAGTTAGAATGCACTAATATTCATTTTATAGAAAATTAATGCATAGAGCACTAAATGAAAATATGATATGAGCACAATTCTTAAATGAAAATATATGCTATATTATACTTTAATAAAAGTTCATTTGAATCAAATTTTTTAAATAAAAATGAAGTTTCGACTTTTATAAAAACTATTGTTGAAGAGTTCTGGAAGTGGCAAAAATAAACTAAAATCCACAGGTTGAAAGTTGCAAATCTGTAGTTTGGAGGTCACAAAACTGTTCTTCACACACAGCAAGAGCAAAAGAACAATTAACTTATCACTTGAGGCACTCTGCTTACATGAAAGTCAGTGATTGGTTGAAGTGGAACAAAAATTTGCATGACATCTATATAAAGGGATAAGTAATGCAAGTCCTTTTTTATGAACAGATAACACATTCAACATAATGCCACTTGTTTTGATAGGGTATGTTGCCATTTTCCTCACCACAAAAATTAAGTAAAATTTAGCTAATTTGATTTTGCATTTGTTCACTTTTAGAACTAATATTTTAGCTTTTTTTAAAATTTATTTCCTAAACATTTTAATGGTGTTTTTATTATGCTATTAATAACTATAAATGACAAGAACTTAAAAAAAAAATAAACATTTTGATTCTGGGATGGTTTAAAAATTGGCGGGGGATGATTAAAATTGTATTTCTGGGCAGTTCTGAGACAATAGTGCAAAAGTTAGTTTGGGAACCTGCTGTGTATTCTCTTACACTCATACAATCATTAAATTTTCTAAATTAATCTGTCAACTAGTCAAGTGTAGAATATAAAAAGAAAAACAAATTATTTCCTCTAAGTGGTCATTCTGCAGTTAACAAATAGCAAAGGCAGTAAAAATCTGAAATTAATAATTCTTGCACTCTCCATATGACACAGACCATACATGTAGTTGTTCCTGAAATTGTAAGAAGCACTAGAAGGTCAACATTTTTCAATGCAAAAGTTGAAGTTGATGGGCATAACTGTATGAAAAGTAAGCACGAAATTTAATTTATGGAATAAAACATAAGCTCGTAATTGTGAAGAGAAATAACTTTCCATAATTTTGATATCAGTTTCATTATTTTCTCTAGTCTCAGATCTATACAGTTGGAGACTTTATGTTTTAATCAATCATCAAATATATGTTAGATGATTTATTTTAATATCGATCTCTTAAAAAATCTCTTTAACACTTAACAATTAAAATTTGAAATATAATATTAATAGAATTGAATATTATCTAAAATAAGTCTGTTTCTCATGATTGTCATTTATCAGAGAAACATTGATAATTGTGTCAATGTAGAAACAGCTTTGAATTTTGGGGTCTGTCTATATTTCTGAGATGAGGTATTATGTACATTATTTACATTATTCGGACTATTGTCCTCATCTTTATCACCATATTTATCACAACGTTTCGGTCGTTGTACGCTCCGGCCAATATCAGCTGAGTGCCTCTAAGGAGTCAGTATTGAATAAGGGTCTCAACTTCGCCACAACCATCAGGCGAGTGCCATACTTGGACATCATTACCAGAGTCGAGCAGGTGGCCTTGAACATCCCTCAGGCTCAGGCGGATGAACTGAGATGGAAAGTGAGACAGTCCTTGGAGAGAGCCAAGCCGCCCAGGTCTAACATAACAAAACTGGAGAGGCTGGCGATTGGATCCCTACAGAGAAACGAAAACATCATCATACTACCGGCTGACAAAGGTAATGCGACTGTAGTGATGGATAGATCAGATTATACAAGAAAACTGGAAGACCTCATTAGCAATGGTAGCTACAGAAAAGTGAAAAAGGATCCTACTATGAAAATAGAACGCAAACTGTCACAGATCCTAATCAAGAACAAGGATCACTCCGCACCTAAGACGTATAGGCAGTTATCGCAGCATTATACCAAGCTACCTCACATATACGGTATCCCTAAGATTCACAAAGACGGTATTCCGCTCAGGCCGATTGTTAGTTGCCAAGGCTCAGTGTGCCACCCTCTGAGTCGCTTCCTTGTAGATATAATTGACCCATTGATCGGAAAGTCTCCTTCATGTGTCTGAAACTCCGCCCACTTCGTGGAAATAATCAAAGATGCTCCCATCCTATCCAACCAGATGGTGAGCTTGGATGTGGTGAGTTTGTTCACCAAGGTACCCACGGAGGAGGCACTCTCAGTAGTCAGAGACAGATTCACCTTTGACTCTTCCCTAGAAGAATGGACCAGTATTCCAATAGATAATCTGATGGAGATGTTGACTTTCTGTACACAAACAACACACTTCGGAATGGGATCACACATATACCAACAGGGTGAGGGCTTAGCAATGGGCTCGCCATTATCACCAGCAATGGCAAATATATACATGGAATACTTTGAGGAAATGGCATTAGAATCTATATCTCTAAAGCCAACTATATGGTTAAGGTACGTAGATGACACCTTCATACTCTGGCCACACCAGGAAGATGTTCAGGTTCTAGTGGACCATATGAACTCAATAAGACCTTCGATACAGTTCACAATGGAGAAAGAGAGTAACCACACACTCCCATTCCTGGATGTTCTAATATCTCGAACAGAGCATGGGTTTAAGACATCCATATACCATAAACCGACATTCACCGGACAGTACCTAAATTTCAACTCCCACCATCCATACAGCGTAAAGAAAGGGATCGTCCATTGCTTACAACACCAAGCAAAAGTCATAAGTGGCGATCCAGAGACGTTAGATAAAGAATTGGTCAGTATAAGTAGTACCCTACAACGTAACAACTACCCTGGGTACATGGCAGCAGCCCCCAAAAACTGGGATAGGCGGGTACAAGAGGAGGAGGATAACAACACTCAGAAAACAGTCTGCCTGCCTTATGTGAAGGGGTTATCAGAGAAAATACAAAGCATGTGCGGTCCATATAACATCAGGACAACCTTCAAAAGCTTGACAACACTTCATAGATATCTCTCCCAGTAAGACCCCCCCATAGAGGAGAACATGACTAAAGACTGTGTGTGTACTCTATCCCATGCAGCTGCGAAAGGAATATAAAGGAGAGACAGGCCGCCCCCCTCAAGGTAAGGCTTCAAGAACACCAGAAACTGTAACATGAGGGGAAGTAGAAAAATCAGGCATGGCTGACCACATATGGAGAGAGAAGGGAGATCACCGCCCTCTGTGGGATCATGTTGAGATCATTGACAAGGAACACCATTGGAAAATTCGTAAACTTAAGGAATCAGCACATATGCTAGGCCACAAAAATCTCCTGAGCTGACCAAACGTAGAAATAAATACAATATGGGAACCAGTAATAAGGAGTGCCAGAGAAAAGCAATGATAACAACATAGTTGCAATATGAGCTCTTGTAAAAACATAAATGATAACAGCAAATTGCAATATGAGCACTGGTAAAAATGGTTGCTGAAGACATTAGGTTTATAATACCCAGAAATTCATACCCAGATGTCCTCAAGGATACATGGCACAGTGGATAAAGGTGTTGGTTAGATCCAGTAACAGGACCCAAAGAGTGTGAGTTTAATACCCAGTGAAGAACTTTCAGAGGGAAATTAACAGGAGATAACGGATATCCATCAAACATGGCACGTGGAACTAGAACAGTCTACACGGTTCAGTTCGACATTCCAACCACCTGAAGAAGCCGAAACGTTGTGATAAATATGGCGACAAAGATGAGGACAATAGTCCGAATAATGTAAATAATGAGCTTTGAATTTTGTTACAAAACTAATTGTCGATTGTATTTTGTATTTCAGTAGGAATGTACCTGTTCAACTTTGTTTCATTCCAATATTACTATTATTACAACATGCATAAAATATGCATTATCTTTCTTTAATTAAGATGCACAATGAAGACATCTAAGAAAAAAATCAGGAATAAAAACTTGTATTCACATCTTGAACGTTTTTTTTTTGTTTTTTTTTTTTCTTAAAAAATATTTTCTTCTTTTTCTAGAATTTCAATATTTTAAATTTACTTGCAAAGAGTTCCCTACAAAAAAATTTTCCATTTCCAAATCTATTTCCAATGACAAAGCTTTGTTTATTTGAAAGCTACTAAGTTAATCTGACAAAATTTCAGAATAGTGACACTTATTAGGATTGAACTAATTACACTAGTGATTGGTCTGCCAGACTAACATTTTAATCATAACTCAAAGCCAAGCACCCATTGACTCTCTGTGTACTGG